CACTATTGTAGGCATCTAAAAATGCTTATAGGTTACCGCACATAGCTCGAGACAAAGTGAAGACAATGAACGTCATCATCCGAGTCAAGAAAGATTATCTGAGTGACCCACACGCTTGTCGGCTAGCTCCATGTGCCGTAAAGAAGCTAACGAGCACTATTGTAGGCATCTAAAAATGCTTATAGGTTACCGCACATAGCTCGAGACAAAGTGAAGACAATGAACGTCATCATCCGAGTCAAGAAAGATTATCTGAGTGACCCACACGCTTGTCGGCTAGCTCCATGTGCCGTAAAGAAGCTAACGAGCGTATAAATCAAGTTAGCGAAGCGTAAAAGTTAACAAGATGACCAAATACACAAAACGGTAGAAAGTACAAGTCTGAGAAAGTCGGGAAACACCGAAAAGCTCAAAAAAGCTCGAAACTCACGTGACGCACGGGTCACCACTTGGTGACCCGCGCTCATGCGGGTCACCAATTGGTGACCCGCACCCGCAGCCCGGTGACCTGCGGCCGAGCGGGTCACCGCTTGGTGACCCACGCACGCACGGGTCACCTTGGTCTGTCCCACGCCCAGAACTGCCCATAGCGTCAAAAACACGTTTTAGGCTGTTTCGATCGGTTTCTTCAGTTCCAGAACCTCTCTAACTGTTTAGATATCATATCTAAATGTGGATAGGTCGTTATTGACTGAAGATAAGGTCAAATCTCTCATTCTCATTCAAATAACCGCATCCGAGGATCTATAAATACAAGCCTAGGGCCCCCATTCTTAGGGAGTGAATTATAATCAAAGAGGGCAAGGTGCTGTTGAATTACAGAGCCAAGAGCCATGAATTTCAGAAAGGGTTAGCTAGATCTTAGTGATTTTCTGTGCATAAAGAGTGTATTTCGAGTGATCTGAGACTCGTTCCACGTTTCCTCCGGATCAAACTTAGTTTTAATCTCGAGAAGAGTCGTAATCTCGCTTGGTCGAGATTATCACTTCAGCAATTACTTCCTTTATAAAGTAAGAGCTTTTGATAATCACTCTATCAACCAGATCTGATCCGTGATGGTCCACGGACTAACGTGTATCTGGCACAGGCAAAGTTCCCTCGCAAGCAATAGGAAATAAATTGTTGTTGTGTGTTGTTTGAAGGAATTGTAATATTTATATTTTCATTGTATAAGAAGATCTTATAAAAAGATTAACTTTTTATTTATTTAAGTTTATTGTAACGACTAAAGTTGTAATAGATTCAAGATAATGAAAATAGCAATTTCTGACCCAAACACGCTGGCGACCACAGTGGGAGCCAACAGTCTTTCTACGAAGGCTGATGTATCACAACCTCGAATCCGGATCTCGGTTGACGTAGAGGTCGAGTACGAGCTCAACCAGGCTAAGTTCGAGGAGTATCTGTCGTCCTCCTCCTCCAGATTCTCAACACCTTGCAACCCTAAGAAGATCAATGCCCCCATTGTCGTTGCGGTCATACCTTCCAACATCCCTACGGCTAAAGCTTCAGATCTAAACTCCTCAATCAAGGAGATAACCGATGGATTCGCGATAACCCTATCAAAGAGGGCACACCAAAGGTAACGCCAACGCCTCACGCGCCAATTCGCCAAGGCTTTGAAGCCTTTTGATGGGATCTGCTACGATGCAGATCTGAAACTCATAAGGCACAAAGTGTTCCAGCAGCGAGCAAATACCCCCTCCTCCAAATCATTAAAAAGTGAATGGATACAAGTCAAAAGGACTCATTTAACTCTTGAGGAACGCATCCAGAAACGCCATGCACTGCTTGCGCACGGATGAATTCTTGCGCAAAAGGCACAAAAGATGTAGAAGAAGGACATAGCTAAGAAACAACCAATACGACATCAAACTTAGAGGCCAAAGTCCGAAACGACAGTCAAAATAACGACAAAGCACGGGTCACACCAAGGTGACCCGAACAGCAGCGGGTCACCACGAGGTGACCCGACAGGTTGCGGGTCACCCATAGATGACCCGGCCCCGACAGCTTGCGGGTCACCCATAGATGACCCGGCCATTAGCGAGTGACCCTAATGTGACCTGGCCAAGTGCGAGTCACCCCAAGGTGACCCACGCCTGGGCCGAGCCAGTAGGTGTCCCGCACCTATTTTCTGACTCCGGTGAATTCCGTTCCTGTTTCGACTGATCTCGTACCTTCGGTGAAGTCCCACGACAACACAGACTTACCCCGATTCAAAATGATAATGGTGGAACGCCTAGGTCCTTTGCATGAGGATCAATGCAGAGTTTTGGTCAAAGAACGCTTGGGCCCAGTAAAGGAACCCCGAGCAACTCATCAAGGTAGGGGTCGCACACACCCTCACAACAACTTGGAGCCTTCTCATAAAGGAAAATTTCTAGTAACCGACTACCTCGGACTGTGTGTCAAAGTCCAAGAGCCCGTTGAGGTCCCGTGCTCACAAAGGCGTAGCTCAAAACATGCGACTCTTAAGAGCGGTAACAATACATCAAATTCTCAGAAGGAAACATTTTCGTCTGACGACGACGATGTTATGCCTGGGAAGTCATGCCAACACACGATAGGTTGCTTCGGTAATTATGCCGATGAGTTGTACTATCGGGCTGGGGGTACGAATAGATCTCGAAAGAGAGATACCCGGGAGATGGACTCTCATTGTCCGTGTGCCAAACTTATCAGGACTGTATTATCAGCGTGTAGCTACCCCAGGACCGCTTCATAGAGGGTCTTAGTATTTGAAAGGATCTACACTGAAGCGTCGAAGCCCAAATCAAGGCATTTTCACAAAAGAAGATCGGTCGTTCAAGATGATGAACTCTCAGAAGTTACTATCAACATGGTCAATAAGGAAAAGTCATCAATTGTTTCAAGTGGTTCTATCCCTGACTTTTCTCTAGGAAGAATAATCAATTCAGGAATAGCCCAACTAATGTCTCAACTCCAGCTAGAAGCTGTCGAACCAAAACAATCCGCAGTCACGATTAACATGGATGATAAGGGAAAGTCGACTCGACCTTCTAGTTCAGACCCCCTCATATCGTATCGTCTAACTCAGCTACACGCAGGGACTACTAGACGTAGGGACTATCTGAGGATGAATAGAGGATTATCCTCAGATGATGAAGCATCAGATGCTAACTCTTCAGTCGCTTTTCAATCCGCAGTCACGATTAACATGGATGATAAGGGAAAGTCGACTCGACCTTCTAGTTCAGACCCCCTCATATCGTATCGTCTAACTCAGCTACACGCAGGGACTACTAGACGTAGGGACTATCTGAGGATGAATAGAGGATTATCCTCAGATGATGAAGCATCAGATGCCAACTCTGTAGTCACTTCAGACGCTACTGTATCCAGTCCCGGACAAGCTCGGGAAGTGTTCATGATTAATACCAAGCAAATGACCAAAATCATTGAGGATGCTTTGGCTAAGCAAAAAGAGGACTTCAAGTTCGAATTGGAAATAACCATGATACGGATGAAGGAAGAGCATGACCAACAGATTCAGACTCTGTCCAATCAACTTGGTGAATCTAGTCGTCGAATAATTGCTAACCAAGCAGGTAGTGATTCAGATGTGGATGAACAACTTAATGCCGATAACCCTCCCATTGACTAGAATGCTGAGGGTGACCCCATTGAAGACAACGACGTTGGGGGTTGTTTTCAGCGAAAGTTGTTTCCATTGCAGATTCCATTAAAACTTCGATCGTTTACAAAGAATTACAATGAAAATAAAAGAAAATACAACTCTCGAGAAAATAACACAGAAATTGTTTATCAACTCCTGCTTTTGTGGGACTTTGCCTGTGCCGGGAATGCTTTAGTTCGTGGACCACCGATTCGTAGATCGAGAGGTTGTTTAAGGATCTCTCCTTCGTTTATCGAAGTAAAGATTTGAAAACGAATATCTTATCGATGTAAGATGTCCGTTCTTCCAAAGATCAAGTCTGAGCTTAGATCTCTAGGATTCACCAAATGATGCTTGTCAGAGGGTGAAAATTCTCTCTTTCTTTCTCAAAATCACCAAAGACTCAAGTATCTTCTGCTCCAAAAATGCTCTCTGTCCTTTAATTCGTGCCTAGGGAGGTATTTATAGGGCTCTCAGTGCACCACAGTTGAAACGGAGGCGAAATAACTGACTGGCCGTTTTCTCTTTGGCCGCTGCAGTCTACACTGCCGCGGCTATTGGCGCGGCAGTATAGGCTGCCGCGGCCAAAGAGACGGTTATGAGCACGTTCCATCGTGCTCAAAACCACTCTCCCACGAACTTTAACCACCTTTTTCGTGGTTTAACCGCTTTTCCACGTCAGCACACGTTCTATCTTTGATATGCTGCCACGTGGACTTCAAAAAATCATCAAATAACTGTCTTATAACTGCCACGTCATCCTCTTATAACAACCGCGACACTATAGGCCGCCGCGCCTAAGCCGCGGCACCTTGGTCTGCCGCGCCATAGCCGCGGCGCCTTGGTCTGCCGCGCTATAGCCGCGGCGCCTTGGTCTGCTGCGCCTTAGCCACGACGCTTTGGATTGCCGCGCCTAAGCCGCGACACCATTGGCTGCAGCGCCACAGTGCTGTCTGATGACGTGTATATCGTTCTTCTATGTTGTCTTGCATGGTGTTTGAATGTCTATAAGCATTTTTGACGCCTACAGATACCCCCTCCAAAGTATCTCAGACTCATCATTTCTTTTAGAGAGGAGTCTGGGACACTTTGGATATGATAGGCTTTCCCTGCAATTTCTCCAGTTCTTTGTTGAGGAAATTGCGTAGAATGGTCTGTGAATGGCTTCAATCCTTGACTTCTTTATCTCTTAGTCTACTCAATGCTTTGTAGAATAGCTAAGATTCCTCCGGTGCTGCGTTTATCGCGTGCCCGTCGTCGAAGTCTTGAATCAGAACTGTTGTTGAAGAATGGAGAAATAGTTTATACTCATATGCTCTATTGGAGTGTTCGGGAAACAGTTTAACCTCATGTACCCGTTGGGAGGTTCAAGGAGATGCAGTTTATACTCATATACTCATCGGAGTGTTCAGATGTGTATTCCAAATACAGCAAGAGATGTATGTGTTCAAACGTCGAAGAATTATCGTGCATGCACAGTATTTATACATGCCAGAGTGAACCATGGTGTGTTAGCTGCCGCGGCAGCTTACACTGTCGCGCTTTAGCGCGGCAACATAGACTGTCGCGCTCGAGCGCGACAGTGTCGAGTGCCGCGCAGCGCTTCGGCCAGTCAGATTATAACTCTGACGTTTGGGCTTCTTCGGGTCACCTTTCCCCGCCTCTTTGAGTTCGAAACCTCTTCCAAAACCCTATAAAAGGATTTTTTCTGGTTTTTCCCCTTTCCACCTCTTCATCTTTGCGTTTGCTCAAACAAAACCTAGGGTTTTAAGATCTAGGGTTTAGGGTTTTTTCCTGATTTCGAGCCTTTTCTCCGGTCTTTTCATCTTCCAGCCTTTGTTCACTTTGATCCTTGGTAAGACCGCACCCTTAGGTTGTGTTGTGGAGTTTGATTTTGGTATCTTATTTGGGATTTTACCAAAACCCTAATTATTTTTGTTTCTTAGACAGTTTTCATCATGTCTCCGAAGAAATCTCGTGTTTCGAAGGGGAAATCAACAGCACCAACTCCTGATGAGGTCGAGACCGCCATTCCTTCTCTGGGGGGTAAGCTTCTTCAACTTCTCTTCGTCTGAAATTATTGATTTTGTGCATATAACCTCGTTTGTCTCCGTTGAGAGGCATTCGGGAAGAGTTGACATCCCCCACCGAGGGGATTGACGCTTCAAAACACATACCTTGTTCAATCAAGGCATGTACCACAGTTAAGACACGGGTATTCGTCGAACTCGTGTCTTTTCAATATCAAAGGCCGCTGCTCAGTTACCGCGGCAACTCGTGCTGTCGCGCCTGAACGCGACAGTGTATGCTGCCGCGGTAACGCGCGACGGCCACATCTGTCGCGGCTGCTTAGTGCGGGTTTTCTCGCCTGTTAGCCTTTTTGGTCCAACTGTTTTCCAACCTTTCTTTGCAGTCCCCTTTCCTTCTGTGGCCTTCTCTGATAGAGAGGATCCAGGTCAAAGCGGTACTCTTCATGCCTCTTTCAACGGCGACTTCTTGGTTAGAGAAGCCCGCCAGTTTAGTGAGGGTCGTGATAATAGTATTCCAGAGTTGGTTCGTGAGGGAGGTCGTCGTACCCTGCGCGCTCTTTTGACTGATTCACCCCTAACTCCAATTCGAGATTCTACTGAACCGTTGAAGAAGACTGATTATCTGTTCGGAGATTCGGTAGAAGATCCAGACAAACTTTGCCTTGGCTCTGAAATCTGGTTGAATGAACATGAAGGTTCTTTTTTATTCCTTCCTCCATTCCCTCGACAGTACTCCCTTCTGCAATTGAGGAATTTGGCTGTTTCGAGGGAAATGACGTGGCGCTTGACAGAAGACCATGAGCACGTTCATTGTGGCTACATTGGTAAAGACATTAGCGCTCCTGGCTCTGTCGGTAGGCCTGATGTTCGTGGTCTTCACCCTGGTATATTTGGACCAGATGGTGGGCCCCAAAACGAACTGATGATAAGGGCCAACACCGTAAAGAATAGGCTCGCTCGGGTTGGTCGAGAACTTCCCATTCCAAGATTCAGGTGTTATGGATGGGTTCATTCTCTTCCTGACAAATGGTGGGCTAGGATGACCAAATACGTACTCCATCGTTGGGATCAGGAGTTGCGGGATTTGGGATTATATGCTCCAATCCGAGCTAGTATGCATGGTCTCCCAGTGAGTGCAGATCATTTTATGGCTTTGTTCGAGTCTTATATTCCGGAGACCAATACCTTTCTTACCAAGTATGGGGAATTAGGGCTTCCGCTCCACGAAATGATGAAGGTATCCGGATTGCCATTGGGGAATACTCCTTACCAAGAATATTTTCCTAATAATCGTCAGTTGATGAAAATGAAGAAGGCCTGCTCTCCTGCTTATGACATCCTCTGGGAGTTAACTTGTCATTATCAGATAGCGATAGCCAAGATTGAAGTGAAGAGTAAGAAGGCGGCTCGAGTCAGTTTAAAACAGTTCGCCGACTACCTATTTCAGAACCTTGAGAGCCCGACCGGTGAAGAAGTCTGTGAATCACCGATTCTGACCCCTTCTGACGTCAACCAGCTAATCACGAAGATTAATGCTCAGTCTTACAGAACTGAGTCATCTGAAGGTGGTTTTCTTAAGGGCACCAAGTTCAACACTTTCTTGTGGCAAGCCACAAAGAGAATGAAGCCTGCAACTCTTCTTTCCGGTTATCTGGCCATTTGGCTAAAGAGATGTGTAGTGCCGCATCAGTCTTCTGAGGCGCTTCCTCTTGAAGTTCTCTTTCCCGCCGTGCAACTAGTTGTCAGAGGCAGGTTATCTCTTCTTTCTGCTATGATTGCTGACCTCCATAGCGGTTTGCGTAACCTAGCCAACACCTTTACCAAAGTGGGTGCCGAGCCTTCAACTAAGATTCCTTTGTCGAGCGTCGAATTTCCGTACACCTATTTGATGGCGTGGCTAGTTCTCCATCGATCGGACATGATGTCAGCGCCTGATGCGTCTGATCCAGAAATCCCCTTGCTGCAGCTCTTAGAAGGATGTAAGTGGTTATATCCTTCCCGACCATGGACTGACCGTGTGAGGCAATTCAAGAATGCCAAATGCTGGGAATTCTATAAGTGTTTCCCTCGGTTTTCTGGTGCCTATAATGACACGCTTGTTGACGAGGAAATGCCTGGGGCTAACAGGACCTCTCTCGATACGGGTAGTTTTCATTGGCTCATGAACATTCGCCCAGGCTATAATGTTTTTCGATCGAAGAACATTTGCAGGATTGAGCCTTATTTTCCTTGCCGTTTTGCGCGACAATTCGGCTACGATCAATTGTATATCGGGAATCCCAATAAATGGTTGATAAACTGCGGAGGCCTTATTGATGGGGTACGTGCCTGGTTCTGGAATGTTGCTGGCTGTACCGGAGCTCGATTTAGTTTGCCTGTCGCTGAGCCTGGTCTTTACTTAACCTTCCTCTACTGCCGGTGGATTTTAGCCGCCAATACTCCTCTTGCGAAGAAGAAGCTCCACGAACTGGAATCCGAGGCTGTAGTTCGGAGAATTGTATCAAAAAAAGGAAAGGAGCCCGCTACGTCTTCTCGTAAAGGAAAACAGGTAGCTGATTCCGAAGAGAGCGACGACTTCGAGACATCCAGCGAAGAGGATGAGACCCGAGGCGACGCAGAGGGTGATGTACCTTTGTCTCCCGTGGCTCACAGGACTCGTCGAGCTTCTTCGCCCAAATTACCCGGTGCTCCTTCAAAAGGTATACAAATGAAGGAAAAGAACATTCCCCTGTCGTCCTCCAACAAGATGACCTTGAGATGGCTTTCTCAGGAGGGAGAGGCAGAAGAAGAGGAAGAAGAGGTTGCCCCGCTTATTAACAGGAAAAGATCTCGGCTTACTGCTCCTTCTGAGGTTCAACCTCAGCCGACTCAAGGAACCGAATTACGTACCAAGTTTCGACATGAAAGCTCCGAGGTTCCTCGAGATTCTCGTGCCTCGAAGAGGATTAAAAAGACGGCTCATCGGGAACGCCAACTTTCTCCGTTATTTGAGGAGAAGTTTACTCAGGATCTTCCAGTTGATGAAAGGGGTAAAGTTTCATCTTCATCTCCTTTCTGTTATCTTATTTCTTTTTTGAATAAGGCGTCGCATTTATTCTTTTATCATTGCAGTTGAATCAGAAGAGGAAGGGGAAATCGTGCCCAAGCCTTCTTCTCCGGGTTTAATGGATGTTGATGAATCTAGCTTCACTGAACAAGTGCACAAGGCTATGAACGAGGAACCCCTTCATATGGACATTGTTCCTCCTCCAGCCACCACATCGACCTCGCCAACCGCAGATACAGGTACTGATGTTTTCTCCTTTGGGGGACATTTTCGGAAGATAAGTGAATCAGAACGTGTTCCTCTCCTACTAACTTGTGCGCTTTATCTTCTTTTAGTTAAACTAAAGGAGGTGAGTGCGGGTAGTAGCGCTGCTAATCCCGCAACTATTGTTGAAGGTAATCTCACTTTATTTGTTTTGATTCTTTGATAGTTCTTGTATATGTGTTGACGAGTTCTTCTGTTTAACAGACATCACAGTCGACGAACCGGGAGATATCGAACTTACCCATGATATGGGTATCGGAGATTTCGATGAGCGAGACTTCGATCTTGACATTTCTGAAGATGTACACCAGGAGATCTCCGATATACTATCAAATCCGGTTCCATCCGCTACTGCAGGACCAACTACTCGAGTTGATTCAGCTGAAGCAGATGCATCAAAAGGTATACCCTTTTAGACTCCAGTTTTCAACTGTACTTTCATCTGTTATTGTTCTTGAAGGACTGAAATAAGAATTTTAGACGTAGGACCAACTAACGAAGTTGATGCGTCTACCGTCATCGGTGAATGTGATCAACCTGAAGGTCTGGGTTTCTTACTCTTGGCAAGTCCCCCAGCTGAAGTTGAACCACCAGTCACTGCTCCCCCGACTTCCGCTATTGTCGAAGCTGAACCTGTTGTGCTTTCTGCTCCGACTCTAGTGGATCATGAAGTAGGAGGGTCAAAGGATACAGCGGGAGAACAACCCCCTGCCGCTTCGACTCAGCTTGGTACGTTTTGTCTAATCGTGCTTTGAAGTTGGATTAATACTTGCGGAGTGATCATTCATCCTTTTCTCGTTGACAGAACTTGTTCCTCAAGATTTTGTCGCTTTGGATCCGAAGCCATCAGGTGTTTCAGGTGAACAACCGTCTCCTATAGTAACTCAACCGACGATCGTTATTCCTGAACAGATCCCTGTTGTTATAGAATCTGCTCTGACCTCAACAAGCCAAGGTAACTCGGTCGTGAATTCTTCCAGCGAGCGTACATATTCTTGTACTTAACTTATTTGTTCTCTTTGCAGCTATTTCTTCTTCATTGTCCGAGCGGATTCAAGTTTTATTGGCAGATGAAGATCCGGACAAAGCTGCCCTCTGTGTTGACGTCCAAAGCTTCGTTCATTTCTTAAACGCCATGGTCGATCGGATTCTTCTTAAAGGTTCACCATTTGAACTTTTCAGGAAGTCTCTCGATCGCCATGTATCAGGAATTAAAGAACAGGGGTGCACCGAATTATCTAACTCCATAGAAGCTTATTTGGTCGATCTTAAACAACACATTGAACAGTTACAGAACTTTCGAGTTGATGGCGCACCTTCTTACATCGCTTCCGAAATGGACCTGAGGCTACAAGCATGGCGTGATTCTCAGAAATCCGCTGAATCCGAACTTCAAACACTGAAGACTCGCATTGATCAACTCCGGGTGAGTGCTGCCAAGAAAGCTCAAATCAAGGTAGACCTGTATCGTGATTTGGAATCACGTCGGACAGAGGTAGCCCAGTTAGAGAAACGACTTGCCGAAGCTAAGGATGCTTGCGAATTTTTGGAGTCTGATCTAGCAGAAGTAACTCAAGCTGAGGTGGATATACTCCGGCAACTTAATTTCCAGAACAAGACTTTTGATGACAAAGAACAAGAGGTTGCCAGAATTCAAAGTATCGATGAAAGAAAATTTAAAGCCAAACTGATACCTGAGCTCGAATTGGCTTACGCGACAAAGCTTTCTAAATTAGAAGATGAATTCCGTCATTACAAATTATTGTAATTTTGAAAACATGCATCTTTTCTTTTGTGCTGCTTTGCTTGAACTCTTTTGGTTAATACAATGAACTTTTCTTTTTTATTGAGATTTTATTATGATTACTCATTCTTGTTTAGAATAAATAGTCATAATACTTATAGGATTTTTGGCAAATCCTCAGCCATCAACGGATTTGATATGCCTTTACCAACTACCGTTTGAGTCGGGCTAGTATGTGAATTATCTAAGTCCGTTTCACATATAACGTTGCGCTAAAAGAATTAAACTCTTTTAGGCTTTGAACTATCATATTGAATATGTAGGCTACATGTGTTAGCTCTCGAGGAGCGAATCCAGAAGCGCCGCGCCTTGCGTGCGCACGCCCGAGCCCTGGTCCAAAAAGCACGAGAAATGCTAAAGGGAGAGACCGTTAAGAGATCGCCGAAATCCGAACGAGTTTGGATGCCGAAGGCCAAAACAACGCCTAAGGTAATAGCAGGTAATATTGCTCTCCAACCTTCGTCAATTTCAGGTCCCGAACCTTCGGTAAAGCCCCACCTCAGCGTGGATCTCCCCAAATTCAAGAATCCTCTGAACAACCGTATCGACGCTCTACCCGAGAATCGAGGAAAAGCGCTTGTCAAGGAAAGCTGGGGATCGTTGAAGGAGCCTCGAGCCAACATCCAGACTGGGGGTCGTACACGATCTCCTAACAAATCGATCTTTGCAACAACCAGCTCGACGGTGCGTGCAAAAGACCAAGAGCCCGTTAAGGTTTCACCCTCACAAAAAAGTGAATCCAAACGTGCGACTCTTGCGGAGGCCAACAAGGCAATGTTTACTCAGAAGAAGACGCGTCGAACAAACGAACGCGTTATACCTGAGAACCCATGTGAGCAGCCGATAGGTTATTCCGACCACAACGTCGTATCAGGCTGGGGGTGTGGATGAATCTCGAAAGAGAAACACCCGGGAAGCGGATTCTCACTGTCCGTGTACCAAACTTATCAGGGCAGTATTATCAGCTTGTAGCTGCCCCAAGACCGCTCCACAGAGGGTCTCGATATTCGAAGGAATCTCCGATGGAACGACAAAGCCCAAATCAAGGCGTTCCTACCAAAAAGGATTGATTGCTCGAGATGATGAACCCCTAGAAGTTACCATCAGCATGGTCAACAAGGGAAAGTCCCCAATCATTTCAGGTGATTCCGACTCTAGTTCCTCTTTGGAAAGCAGGGTCGATGCGGGAATAGCTCAGCTTCAGCTAGAAGCCGTCAGATATAACAATGA